ATAATATATATATATATATATATATATATGTTATATATATATATATATATATATATATATATATATATATTATATATATGTGTGTGTGTGTGTGTACATATGTGTGTGGTTGTATGTAATGTATATATATATATATATATATATATATATATATATATATATATATATATATATATATATATGTATACATTTATATACATATATATCTATATATACATATATACATATATGTATATATATATATTACATCATGAAGTCAAGCATACTTTCTTATCAACTTTCAAGTTGATCTCACTCTTTTTCTTTTTTCTTTCTTCCTTTCTTAATCTTACATATACCTTTAAAGTCAAACTATATGCTTCTACGATTATCCTTATCAAGAAAGAAAATTAATTACCTTCCTTAAGATAAATGCTGACCACATGACTCTATATACCCTATTTGCATATCTAATCTAAAGTAAGTGTGGCCTAATAGCTACTTTAACTTAAGTCATTATCAAACCAACATGACACAAGACATGCAAATAACTGAATACCATACGGTCACATGCATTCTCTTAAAATTATATGGAAAATTTTCTTATTCAATAAATGCTTGAGCCATTAGTTGTACTTATTTAACCCCTACTAAGCTACTGTACAACAGTTCACTGATGATACTTCAGTCAATCTGACTTATTATCAGGTAACTCAAGTGTTTTAACCAATATTGTTATTCTTAAAGTACCAGAAAATTATGATTATTAACACTTGACTTTTTCACACATGTTAATACTTTGAAGGTATTGATATAATCATACATGTACAAAACTGTTGATTACTCACCCTGGGTCTGCTTTTGGTTCTTGCAACATGGGTTGCCTATCCTCACTAGGTCCAGGTCCAACTGCATAGGAAGTGGGTCCTCCAGCTGCACTAGGTCCTACAGGATATGGACTTGGTCCTGCCGGCCCATTACTTGCTCCTGGATATGGGCTGGAGCCAGCTGGTCCTGCTGTAGTATAGGGAACACCTGTGCTTGGCCCACCTGGTCCATTGTAAGGTCCTGGCCCACTTGGGTATGGCCCAGGTCCAGGACTGCTCCCAAAGGTACCAGGACCTCCTGGATATGGCCCAGGACCACTGGTGGGCTGTGGATATTGTGCCCAAGGGTACTGACCAGCTGGGGTATACTGTCCTGGCTGATACTGCTGGCTCTGCTGTTGTTGCTGTAATGGTGGAGGTCCTGGCTGATACTGTGCTTCTGCTGGGGCCCCTTGCTGAGGTGGTATCTGCTGGGGAGGCCCTTGTGATGCAGACCCTTGCTGGGGAGGCCCATGATGTGGCGTCCCCTGGGGAAAATGTGTTTCCGAGGATCCACTAATTATAGCTAAGCCTTCCTTTGGTGGGCCTTGAGGAAACTGCCCTGCCTGATGGGCTACTTGCTGGTAAGTGGAAGAGGGAATTTCAGTTTTATTTGCTTGATACTGTTCTTCTTGGCTTCCCCCTTCCTGGTGCTTCTGATCTGGCTGCTGAACGGCCACTGCAAACTGCCCTCCTTGATACTGTCCTTGGTGATATGGCTGCTGAGGCTGCCCTGGCTGAGCTGGTCCCTGTGTGTTATGTCCCAGAGGAGATCCCCGTTGCTGCTGATTTGGCGAAGTCTGTGCAGCATCTGCCTGTCCACTACCCTGATATCTCTGATCAGGAGGTTGCTGCCCTGGGTGTTCTTGTCTTTCAGGAGAAGGAGGACCAGCACGCTGAGTCTGACCACCATGGCTTTGTTGTCCTCCATAATAATATGCATATGAATTCTGAGGACTCTCTCTCCCAGATGATTTCCCATCTTCCTTGCTTGGACCTCTACCTTCATTCTCCCTATTCCCTGACTGTTGCTGAGTTTGCTGATCGCTAAAATTATTAAAATGTTGTTGTGGTTGCTGTTGAGGCAGCTGTGAAGATTGCTGTGGCTGAGCTTGTGAAGTAGGTTGTTGTTGTACACTTGATAGATTTGAATGTGATGCCTGTAAGATAACCAATTGCATCAGTGGCTTAACATACTTTTTTTTCTTTTTCTTTCTTTTTTCTTTGTTCCTCTTCTTAAAGAAAGAGTCTACCTCTAACCTGCTGCTGCTGCTGCCTAGTATTGTCCTGATGATCCCCTTCTTCAGTTGCCGAGTAGGGGTCATACTGCTGCTGCCCTCCTTCAACCTTCACCTGTTGCTGGAACTGTTGCCATTGTTGCTCCAGCGATACAGGTCTCGACTCTGGGTGGTTAGGTTGGTTATAGTAGGTTGCTGGAGGATGTAAGTGTTGCTGCTGCTGATGCTGCTGATCAGGTTTCTGGGACTGTAAATATAGGAAAATAATGACATCTATTTTCCTGCCATTAGTAAAGAAAGCAAATATCAAGTACCTCATTTTCAGAATAACAGCAAAAAAGTTGCTACCCTACCTGGTGATGTGTCTGAAGATGATTGACATGTAGATGAGCAGGTATAACCCCAGGGCCTCCTGGTCCCTGATATTCTATTCTGGGAGGAGGTGCACCTTCCCCCCCACTACTGATGCCAACAGGAGGAAATCCTACACCCACTGGCCTTTGTTGCTGTGGATGCACCTGCCCATAGTGACTAGTATTACTGGTTATGGTTGTGCCTGCATGGCTATAACCTTGACCAGCAGACTCTGTAGGTATGTAAGCTGAGCTCACTGGCTGTTCAGCTGGTGTCTGAGAAGTGGGATATCCTGAAGGACCAATCTGGTGACTGGGAGCAGGACCTAGGAAAGTTGAGTGGGCACCAGTCTGAGGAACTTGTTGATGTTGCTGCTGCTGTGGCTGGTGGTGCTGAGAGGTTGGTAGAACTCCAGCCACAACTACTGACTGGTTGACATGCAACTGACCAGAGGCAACTGATGGATCTTGAGGAACAAGAAGACCAACTCCAGAGGTGGTGGTTGTATTCACCCCAGGTGTGAGCACAAGAGACACAGTACTGGCATTAGCAGTCACAGTGGGGGGCATTCCTATCCCAGCTGCTGGAGGTGGCACTCCAAGAGCCATACAGGTACTAGGAGGAGGAATTGAAGCACTGACATTTGGAGGATAAGGACTTTCAAGACTGCCATGAGGAGCCACACTAGTGTGAGGACTTGTAGTGCTTATAGTATTTGAAATTGAAGGTGTTGAATATGAACTGCTGAGTCCTAAAGACCTCGTTATACTTGGTGGGGCTCCCCCATCACTCAAAATTGGGGAATGATTAATGGCAACATGATTTGTTCCAACTGAAGCAGGCAGTGTTTGGGGGGCTGGCTGCTGCTGCTGCACCAATGGACTGGGCACTCCTTGGGGGTCATGCAAAGGACCTGGGTGAGACTGGTGACTAGCAGGGACAGGAGCCACTGGTGCAGCAACTTGTGTTCCCGTTGCTATCGCCACTAGACGTGGTCC